GAGAGAGAGAGAGAGAGAGAGAGAGAGAGAGAGAGAGAGAGAGAGAGAGAGAGAGAGAGTTACACTGTGAGGGGGGGAGAGAGAGAGAGAGAGAGAGAGAGAGAGAGAGAGAGAGAGAGAGAGAGAGAGAGAGAGAGAGAGAGAGAGAGAGAGAGAGATGGAGGGAGGGATGGATGGTGGTTCCCTTGTTAGGATTTATGGTAGTTTCAGTAATTTATCTTGTTTGGTCAACATGGTAGTCAATGAAGTTCATTTGTCTTTGAGAGCTAACGAAGCGATTAGGAAGAATGTTGATCGTTAATCGATGATCTGATCTGAAACAGCAATTTTCGAGGGGGTTCAGATTTGGCCATTTGGACAGGTTGGGATCATCGTCTCATCTTTCCCTTCTCGCTGTCATGCTGAGTGAAACGTGCATCATCACCATCATCATCATCATAATCATGAATCATTTGTTCCATCACTCTAGACTGCAAGGAACCGCACAGATGTGTGCACGCATGCAAGAATGCGCCCGTGCCCATGCCAACACGCACACACGAAGAAATTTCACCATCATCAAATTTCCCGATCTTGACTGAGCCGAGGCAGCCATTGTTACTTTAGAAAAATGTCACAAAAAGTATGACGGCTGAAATAATGATAATCCTGTCTTCGTGTATGCTCTCATTGACGCACTCGATGTGTAATCTGAGCCTGTTAGTTTTTCTCACTTATTTTCTGTTACGCCCCCCCACCAAGAACAAGAACAGATTTCGTCGTCCCCCGCTGAAGTGCAGCGATTTGCCTGGAAAAAAAAACTGTAATTGAGAACACCATTGCCATCTACTGGTGTGGATTTGCAATTAGAGTTTATTACAGTGCATTTTCCCCATGGGTCACACATAGGGTCACCGTATGGTATTGCGATAAAGGCCTCTTCATTAATCAACTAATCAATCACGAGCCGGACTGGATCTCTGAGACCATGCCCTTGTCCTGTAGGCCCCACCAAAATCTTCATTAAATGTGCATTGCAATGCTCAAAGCATGTCAGAGAATTACATCAGCTCTTAAAGTCAAAGGGTTGACAAGAGAGCAAGTCGAGATTAGCGAGCTACCTTGAAAGAGGGAGAGAGAGAGAGAGAAAAAGAGAGATTGAGGGAAGCTGTCGTTTCACTTCATTTGTGTTCAGTTGGACACAGTCAAACGGATATTGATTGATAAATAATTAATGCCACGAGCTGATCATATTGCAACAAAAGAGTACTTTCACTTAATTTTTGTTGAATTAGGCCGAGTGTGTGAGTGAGTGAGCGAGCGAGCGAGCGAGCGAGTTTATCCAGTCAGTCAGTTCAGGGTCAGTGGAAAAGCAGAGAGACAGTAATCCAGTTAACAGGCCATGATCCTAATATTCTGCAGATTAACCGAAACATGCAGGCTGAAATGGGTTCTGGGAAATGTATTGCCAAATAGGCACTTGACAGTAGCTGGCTGCATACAATAGTACTGTATAACACATTAGTGGGGATGTTAGTTCAGTTTATTATCAGGTTGTGATGAAAATTGCACAAGATGACTCTTTGGTCTTCTAATACTCTGTTAAAGGTTTGATTTGTTGACCTGCTTTGAACCACTGCTGCACTCGACGTTTAAAAAAAAAAAAAAAAAAACTTTAGTTGAAAAGAAAAGACAGTTGAGACAGTTTTGCTGCGCTCTTTTTTATTTTATTATATACTTTTGTCACCTTTGTTTGGGTAGTTTGGGTCAAATCTTTTGGGGCGCTGGCGTCGTGCGTCATGACGCAAACGGGGTGACGCAGCACCTGCCGGGGTCAGCGTTAGCGTCAATGCGGAAACGGCGGCTTCCGGCTGGCTTTACCTCTACTCAATTAGCGGTGACACACTTTCCCGCCCTGGACAGATCACTTGCCTTCCGCCCTGTGTGGCCGCGTGGATTAAGCCGTCCCAGCTAGCAAAGCGCTTCCATGACAGTACCTCGGTTCTTTTCTCTGTGGCAAACATTCGGATATGACCGTGGTTGGTACACTTTCCGCCGACCCCTCCGTGTTAGTTCCTCAGAAGGAGCTTGTCTACAATGGGTTGCTGCCGTATTCCGACCGGTTGGACCGAGAGGCCTCGGGGCTTTTGGCGGACATCAAGTCAAATCTGTCCAGGGCTGTCCTCCTACGGGAACTTTGGCCCGGGGTGGCTTTCTGGTGCAAGAAACTCTTGTCGTAAGTGACGAAACTCGGCATAGTTAAAGGTGATGAGCTTGCCAACAAACAAGAAGACTCTAATATTTAATATTTGGAAAATATATTTTCATAAAATGTTACTCTGTATTGGAGTACACGCGGCCATTTTCACTTACTTTGCCATGGCATGACGAACGGGGCCATTTAAAAGGGGAATTTAAATTGCCAAAATATGATTCTCTTAACCCCCCCCCCCACCACCATCAGAATAATGACAAATTTCAAAGGTATTGTGTTTGAATCGCTGTTATAGGTAAAGAAGATACAATTTTACAGAAAAAGAGTTGAGAAACCGTTTTTTTTCTTCCCCTTTCACCGAAAATAATTGAGAATCACTGCTCTAGCTCAACCTCTAAAAGCATGGAAAGCCACTTGTACTTTTTGCTAATGAAAAGTTACCTTAGAGCAGGGTTGTCAAACTCTGGTCCTGGAGGGCCGCTGTCCTGCATGTTTTCCAAGTCTCCCTGTTGCAACCCACCTGATTCAAATGATCAGATCATCAGCAAGCTCTGCAAGCCTGACGTTGAACCTGTTCATTTGAATCAGATGCGTTGCAACAGGGAGACTTGGAAAACATGCAGGACAGCGGCCCTCCAGGAACTGAGTTTGACACCCCTGACTTAGAGTCTCCTAATAGTACGCTATACCTTGAGGGTGGCATAAAGTGACATCCAACATATCCTGTACATGTACAAGAATGTCATCTTTGACCATATGGCTTAGTAGCACCTGATTGACTTTTCAGTGTGGCCCACCCGTCGCCTGACCCTACCTAACCTCACCTACTTTCGCGTCCTTGCAGGTTCCTAAAGCTCTACGGCCGGCGGTTCAGCAAGGACGACCACATTCTTTTCATTAAGCTGCTCTATGAGTTGGTGACTCTGCCTGGGCTGGAGCCCCACATGATGCAGAGCTACGCCCGGCTACTTATTCAGCTCCTCAAGTGGGTGTCACAAACATGTTCCGCTTTTGTCACTTGGCTATTTTTTCGCAAATTGATACGATTGGTCAGTCCTTTACTGATACTAATTATTAACCAATCTGTCAAAAATATCTTGAGAAATTTAACGACACAAATGACATGCTGTATTTTCAATTTTCTGAAAGACAAAAGCTGCAAGCATTCTGTCTGACAGTGGCGATATTTTGCACATCCACATTTTGCCTACAAATTCAACTTAAACAAATAATAAATTTACCAATGTTCAAATGACCTGGGCTCTTGGTCCATTATGAAAACTAAATGCGGCCTTGAGCACCAACGTTGGCCCACCCACTGCTCTAAAGTCAGTTGTCTCCAGTGCGGGCTTTACACACACGCAACGATGCCCCTTAAATCAGATGCCAGTGCCACGTCAACATTCATCACTTGGCCTTTGTCTCGAGGTTGTTGCCGCGACGACCACATCCATCACTCTGCCATCGCATCTTCACGTAAACGTCAATGACTCAATTGGAGCTACCGCAGCTCGCAGGAGAAAGATGGGTGTTGTGTTTTAGTCCATTGCTCTTCCACCTTATTGTGGCTTATTTTCCCAAATCTTCCCAATGAGCGTCTGCTCCTCATTTGCTGGACAGAAATAGCGGTGGGTCTGGCAAGCTTTTTATGAAGGATTTATATCATTAACTACAGGGGCAGAACTTGGCAAATGAGCCCAGCACAGGCTGAGCAATAAGCCATCAAATTGTATGCCTATTTAACAGTGAATTACATTTTTCCCCCCCTTTAAATTTTCCATTGAATTCATCAAGGAACTCCTTTGGACGTTTATAGATGGCAATTGGAATCCACCCGTTCACTGGCACTAATGAAGATATTAATCACTGACATTTTTTCTCTCTTTCACCTTGTTTGTGAAATTCAGGTTTGTAAACAGCTGTAATAACTAACAGTTGCGTGTAGATGGCAGGGCTTTGAGTAAAAGATTAAGATTCGGGACTCAATCTTATCGAGTGGTTTTTGAGGGAAAGAAATGCCAACAAGTTGGACGTTTTGGCACCTCACATTCAAACACAGCGTGTACATGAATAGTATAAGTCATTGACATTCAATTCGAGCCCTGCGGTGAGGCAGCATATTTCACGGTCTGTTTCTTAGTTATACCTTTGGTAAATAAATTATTCTTTTTTCACCAAAAGCTCTTCGTCAGTCTCAAAATACTCCATTTTCAAAATGGCTATCAGTCTATAACTTTACTCCATATTTGTTATGGATTTGGATTGTTAACATTTGGCTATTGTTCAGAAATAGAAACGCACTTGACGTCCTGTCATAGCGCCAAGAAAAAGGCCAGCAAGAGTGTAACAATTTTCCTCGCCAAACAGGAAAAAGGAACTGCTTT